TTTTTTTTTTCTGAGACAAGTCTCTGTCACCCTTGGTAAAGTGCTGTGGCATCACAGCTCATAGAAACTTCAAACTCTTGGGCTCAGGTGATCCCCCTTGGCTCAGCTTCCTGAATAGCTGGGACTACAGATGCCTGCCATAATGCCAGGCTGAAAGTAATTTCGTATTTTTTTTTTTGCAATTTTTTTAGCTGGAGCTGGGTTGAACCCACCACCTCCAGTGTACAGGGCCGGTGCCCTACTCCTTTGAGCCACAGGCACCACCCCTGTTGTTACGGGAGTTTTTTTGGCTGTGGTGATTTGAACCCACCACCTCCAGTATATGGGGCTGGCACCCTACTCCTTGAGCCACAGGTGCCGCCCAATTTAGTATTTTTTATTGCGTTATAGATAACTTGCAATATCAGTTTTAATTTCCTCTTTGATTTAGGAGTTAATCACAAAGAGTTTTTCGGTGGGGGGTAGGGTGGTGGTTAGAGATAGGGTCTTGCTCTTTTGCCCAGGGTGGAGTGTAGTGGCATAGTGGCACTATGACAGCTCAGTTTAACTTTTAACTCCTGGGCTTGAGGGATCCTCCCATCCCAGCTTCCAGAACAGCTAGGACCATAGGTGCACCCCACCAGGCCCAGATAAGTTTTTAATTTATTTGTTCTTACAGAGACGGGGTCCCACTCTGTTGTGGAGAATGGTCTCCTGGCCTCCTAATATAGGTGTGAGCCACTGTGCCCAGCCCAGGAAGGGACTTTTGGATATCCAAGCGGGTTGCTTTCCTCCCTCTTAACTTACTTTATTATTTGTTTGCATACTGTCTGACTATGATCAAAGAATGTAGCCTGCAAAATCTCTATGTTGGAGGGAATTTATTAAGGATTTTCCAGTTGCTAATAAACAATTAACTTTTATATTTGTTCTGTCACATAAGACTTAAGTCTTTTTTTTTTTTTTTTTTTGAGACAGAGCCTCAAGCTGTCGCCCTAGGTAGAGTGCTGTGACATCAAAGCTCACAGCAACCTCCAACTCCTGGGCTCAAGCGAGTCTTCTGCCTCAGCCTCCCAAGCAGCTGGGACCACAGGCACCCGCCACAACGCCTGGCTATTTTTTGGTTGCAGCTGTCATTGTTGTTTGGCAGGCTGGGCTGGATTCAAACTTGCCACCTTAGGTATAAGTGGCTGGCACCTTAGCCACTTGAGCCACAGGTGCTAAGCCAAGACTTAAGTCTTTATTCAAATGCTCTGTTTTTACCTTTTTTTGTTTTTGAGACAGAGTCTCACTATGTCACCCTTGGTAGAGTGCTGTGGCGTCACAGCTCACAGCAACCTCAAACTCTTGGGTTTAAGCAATTCTCTTGCCTCAGCCTCTCGAGTAGTTGGGATTACAGGCGCCCACCACAATGCCCAGCTATTTTTTGTTGAGGTTGTCATCGTTGTTTAGCAGGCACCGGGCCGGGCTGGAACCTGCCACCCTCGGTGTATGTGACCATTGCCATAACCACTGTGTTACGGGTGCCGAGCCCATGAAATTGAGGAATTTCATAGCATATCTGTGTGTCTTTCTTAAACATTGAAGATGCTTTAGGAGTTGGTGGGCTCTTGTGATGCACTGGCTCAAGTCTCTTTCAGAGTATGTAGGTCCTCCTTTATTATCCCTGCTTCCTCTGTAGCTCCTTCTCCTTCTGGAATGTTGGTTATTCACTTTAGTTCTCCTAGATGTACTTTCCATTCTTTCCCACCATGATTCCCACTATAGTTAAACTTCCAGGGCACACTTAAGTTATGTTGTCAAAAAAAAGGCTTGGTGACTATAGCTCAAGCGACTAGAGCACCAGCCATTTGAACTGGTGGGTTCAAATCCAGCCTAGGCTTGCCAACAACAATGACAACTACAACCAAAAAATAGTCAGGTGTTGTGGCGGACGCCTGTAGTGCCAGCTACTCAGGAGGCTGAGGCAAGATAATTGCTTAAGCCTAAGAGTTTGAGGTTGCTGTGAGCTATGATGCTATGGCTTTGTACCAAGAACAACAGCTTAAGACTCTGTCTCAAAAAAAAAAAAAAGAAAAAAGAAAAAGAAAAGACTATAGTTACTATGCTTTGAACTTTTTTTGAAAATAATTAATTAATGATCTTTAAACATTTTTGCAGCACACTGCTTAAAATTACTGCTCCAGGGCCTTCCTTTCCTCCTGTGCTGCTGTCCTGGCCTCTCCCCTAGCACCAAGGCCAGCCTATTTCTGGTCCTTCCCTCTTCCCGGACTCTGAGTGGACGTGAAGGGTCAGGTGCACCCACCATCTGAGCACCACACTAGCTGCGGGATGATGGCAGAGAAGGTGCTGGGATGGAGGGAGGGGTAGTGGGATTTTACCCTCAAGTGACATCTACCAGGCATTCAATAAATGAGGACACTGGTTTATTTTTAATTAAGTAATTTATTAATCTTTTAATTAATTTATCTTTTTTAAAAATTAGAATATACAGTAAAACAATAGCAAAGAGGCAGAAAATAAGTCTCAAATTTCCACCCAGGAGCAACTATTGATAATTCCAAACATTTTTCTAACATCAAAGATGTAAAAATACTTTTGAATAGGTAACGTATAGTCATGGTACAAAAATTCAGAAGGACAAAAGATATCCGTTCCTCTCCTCTTACCCAAGTCTTCAGAGGCAAGCTATTTCCAGAGAGACCTCCATGTCTATACACGTGTCTGTGCAGAGGTACAACTCACTCACAAATGGCTGCGCTGGCGCTGTCCTGCATCTTCTTTTTAATCACTTAATATGCCTTGGAGATCTATCCTTATCAGTGTATTGCCTTATTTTTCTTTTCTTTTCTCCTTTCCCTTCCCCCCTCTTTTCTTTCTTTTCTTTTCTTTTTTTTTTTTTTATTTGAGAAAGTGTCTCACTTAGTTGCCCTGGGGTAGAGTGCAGTGGTGTTATAGCTCACAGCAATCTCAAACTCTTGGGCTCAAGCAATTCTCTTGCCTCAGCCTCCCAAGTAACTGGGACTACAGACACCCACCACAATGCCCAACTACTTTTAGAGACAGGGTCTCACTCTAACTCAGGCTGGTCTTGAACTCCTGAGCTCAGGCAATCTACCCACCTTGGCCTCCCAGAGTGCTCGGATTAGAGGCGTGAGCCACATTGCCTGGCCTTCCTTATTTCAAAATACAATCCCATCACTAGATTTTTCCAGTTTTGCTATTGTAAGTAATACTCTGATGACCTCCATGTATATCATTTTGACTTTCTAAATATTCCTTAGGTCAGGAGAAAACTATTGTCCAGAAAAGCAGGGTCAATGTTAGTCTTCCCAGTAGCAGGTCAGAAGTCAGCCTGTCCCACCACACTCTAGCTAGTGTTTGTGACTTGCTTCTGGTCGTATTTTATGAAGGCTAGTAGGAGCTGCTGACAACTTTTTTTTTTTTTTTTTTGAGACAGTCTCACTTTGTCACCCTTGGTAGAGTGCCATGCTGAGCTCACAGCAACCTCAAACTTCCAGGCTTAAGCAGTCCTCTTGCCTCAGCCTCCCAAGTAGCTGACTAGGACTACAGGTGCCCAGCACACCTTCTGGCTATTTTTAGAGGTAGGGTCTCACTCTGACTCAGGCTGGTCTCAAACCTGTGAGCTCAGACAATCCACCTGCCTTGGCTTCCCATAGTGCTGGGATCACAGGTGTGAGCCACAGCACCCAGCCCTTCTATTGACAAATTTTAAGTAGAGAGATCAACAATCTGATCTGCATTTTTGATTCCAGCTTTGGGGCCTAATAGTTCAGTCAGTCTCCGTGGCTCCCAGGAGGCATTCAAGATAATGGTGACAGGGAGCAAAGCAGAGCAAGTTTGGGAGAAGAGGCTGAATGAGCAGGTCTGTAACAGGCTGTTATGGAGAATGCAGTTCAGGGCTTCCTCTGACAGGGAGTTCTCACTGGAGGCAGTGCACACCCGTGCTCTTGGTCACCTTCCTGATCCTTCTAGTTCCAAACTCTGAGATTGAAACTATTATTATTCTCTATGTTGTGGAGGGAATCTTGCCTGTGGTTACACTGCTGGTCCTGCTGGCTTCAAACAACAGACCAACCTGTGCTCTTCATGCTAAGCATCTCTGCCATATGCCACTTCCCTGGACCATTACCTGGACTCTGAAATTAATTTGCAAGCCAGATCTTTCGGAGATCTTTAGTTTGTAGGAAAAAAAATTTTTTTGAGATAAGGTCTTGCTCTTTCACGCAGGCTGGAGTGCAGTGGTGTAATCATCACTCCCTATAGTCTTGAATTCCTGGCTTCAGTGATCTTCCCACCTTAGCCTCCCAAGTAGCTGGGACTACAGGCATGAGCCACCATACCTGGGTTTTTTTTTTTTTTTTTGGCTGGCGCTGGGTTTGAGCCTGCCACCCCTGGCATATGGAGCCAGTGCCCTACTCCTTGAGCCACAGGTGCTGCCCCTGGGTGAATTTTTTCATCTTTTTAAGAGATAGTGGTCTCACTTAAGTTGCTCAGGCTGCTCTCAAACTCTTGGCCTCAAGCAGTTCTCAGCTTTCTGAGTTGCTAGAAATATAGGTATGAGCTACTATGCCCAACGTGTAGGACTATTTTAAGGCATCAGGTTCTTGAACATTAAAACAAATTCCAGATTTCACTTCCTCTTTCTTACTTCACCCAAAAGATTGAGAGGTGAGAGCTCAGAAATTCAACCACAAGCTCTCTGAGGCAGGTCCACGCAACCATCTCTGTATGCAACAGCACCCACGGCAGTGATCACATGTGGACACTCCAGTCAGTGACTGCCAGTCAAACCAACAAGTGTTCCTTAGATACAAGTTCTGATAAATAGGCCACAAAGAAAAGTCAAAGGAATTGTGGTGGAACTAATTCCATGTACACTGTTTGGTGAGCCCACCTTGGAAACTGCGTACAAATCACATCTATGATGTGTTTTCAGAGCACTTTTACCTTCATTGTAATAACAATGACCTGCCCAGGCTCTGACAGGTTTTTTCCACATTGCTGTCACCATGCAAATCGTTTTTTTTGTTTTTTGTGGGGTTTTTTTGCATTTTTTGGCTGGGGCTGGGTTTGAACCCACCACCTCTGGCATATGGGGCTGGCGCCCTATTCCTTTGAGCCACAGGCACCGCCCCACCGTGCAAATTGTTTTTCACAAGAACTATCAGGCTAGCTGTTATTATCCTCAGGTTGGTTTGTTTTTGGTTCTTTGGGTTTTGTTCCAGAGGAGGAAGTCTGGACAGGCCCTGGCAGGCACGGGCTCCCTTTTGCAAAGGCTACTCCAGGCCAGGTCTCCTGTGCTTCCTGACCTATCTTACCCCTTTGTTCCTTGGATCTGAAAAGTCTTCAAGGCTTTGAAGGAAGTGCAGTGAGTTGATTCTCATGTACCGGGAGAAGAGAACATAGAGGCGGCGGAACCAGAGAAGCTGGCTGCGGTGGCAGGACATGGCACTCTAGAAGGAGCCAAGAGAACCGTTATGGAACACTTGCCCTGGATCTGTTTCCATTATTTTCAGATCTGGCCTCCTCACCTTAAATCCTTCCTCCCATGAAAATACGTCATGCCAAATCCCTGTACAGACTCTGCCTGTGCCCAGGACCCCTCTATTCACCTTTTCCATCCTGCACGTCCTCCCCTGTGATGTGTCAACTCACAGAACAGCATTAAAATTTAGAAGACCATAAATAAAAATAAAATGTTTAGGAAAACACTGAGAGAAAGGATATACTTTGTAGTCCAAACCATACTTGATTTTCTATTTGAAACCACGTTACAAGGGTTTCCCTGCATCACACACTGTGTAGCTTGTCTGTTGAGAGCCCCAAGTCTTTCAGTAACTCCTAGGACTCACTCAATATGGGTTTTTACTATACACACACATATATAGTGTGACAGCTCACTATGTCGCCCTCAGTAGAGTGCTGTAGTGTCACAGTTCACAGCAACCTCCAACTCTTGAGCTTGAGCGATTCTCTTGCCTCTGCCTCCCAAGTAGCTGGGACTACAGGTGCCTGCCACAACGCCAGCTATTTTGTTGTTGTCGTTGTTTAGCAGGCCTGGGCTGTGTTCGAACCCACTATCCCTGGTGCATGTGGCTGAGGCCCTAAGCACTAAGCTACAGGCAACATGCCTACAAACTATATTTTTTTTTCTTTTTTTTTTTTTAGATGGAGCCTCAAGCTATCCCCCTGGGTAGAGTGCCATGGCATCACAGCTCACAGCAACCTCCTACTCCTGGGCTCAAGCGAGTCTCCTGCCTCTGCCTCCCAAGTAGCTGGGACCACAGGCGCCCACCACAACGCCTGGCCATTTTTTGGTTGCAGCCATCATTGTTGTTTGGCGGGCCCAGGCTGGGGATTTGAACCCGCCACCTTAGGTGTATGTGGCTGGCGCCTTAGCCGCTTGAGCCACAGGCACTGAGCCCAAACTATATTTTTCTATTGATTTTTTTTTTTGAGATGGAGCCTCAAGCCATAGCCCTGGGTAGAGTGCCATGGCATCACGGCTTGCAGCAACCTCCAATTCTTGCCTCAGTTTTTCTACTTTTTTAGTAGAGACAGGGTCTTGCTTTTTGCTCAGGCTTTTCTCAAACTGGTGAGCTCACGCTATCTACCCGCCTCAGCCTTCCACAGTGCTAAGATTACAGGCATGAACCAGTGCATTTTACTATATATCTTTCAAAACTGTGATTCTACTGGTTAAATAGTTCTGTATCACTCAGCTACTGAATATTAGTTTCTATTTTTGGCTATTATAAATTATTCTCTCTTTTTTTTTTCTTTTTAAGAGACAGAGTCTCATTTTGTTGCCCTTGGTAGAATGCCATGGCGTCACAGCTCACAGCCACCTCTAGCTCTTGAGCTTAGGCAATTCTCTTGCCTCAGCCTCCTGAGTAGCTGGGACTACAGGTGCCTGCCATAACGCCCGGCTATTTTTTTGTTGCAGTTTGGCTGGGGCTGGGTTTGAACCCGCCACTCTCAGTATATGGGGCAAGCGCCCTACTCACTGAGCCACAGGCACTGCCCCATTATAAATTATTCTAATAAATATCCTTGCCCATAGATTTCTGGATAAATCTTTGTTCATTTCCTTAGGATAAAATTCTAGAAATAAAAATTACTTAGTCTGAGTAGGTATGAATCTATTATAAAGTATATAAATAATACATGATTATCTTTTAATATGTTTACAGATTGGAAAGAAGGACATCATAGCTTAGTGGTTAGGGCGCCAGCCACATGCTCTGGGGCTGGTGGGTTCGATCCTGGCCTGAGCCTGCTACACAAAACAAAACAAACAAACAAAAGTAGCCCGTCATTGTGGTGGGTGCCTATAGTTTCAGCTACTAGGGAAGCTGAGGCAAGAGAATCCTTTGAGCCCAAGAGTTTGAGGTTGCTGTGAGCTGTGACACCTTTGTACTGAAGGTGACAAAGTGAGGCTCTGTCTCAATAAAAAAAAAAAATTTTTTTTGAAAGAAAAAAAATTAAACTCACCTAAAATCCCACCACCCAATGGCAATCAGTTAATATTTTTTGCATTTTCTTTGATTTTTTTCATGTATATGCGTGTGTAAAAATGCATTATACTATATACACATTGCCCTGTAACCTGTTTGATTTCACTTAATGTATCAAGAATCTCCAAAAATAAGAATTTCTGAGAAGACTCTGGACACTCATTACTACTGCTTCCCGGAAAGACTATGGCAGTTTACACCTATTTCATTTAAAGCTTGAACAATGAGTTCCATCACTGATCCTTTATTTTAGTTTTTATTTCTCCCTTCCTTTTCTTTCTCTTCCCCCTTCCCTTCTTCCCTCCCTTTCATTTTTTTCTTTTGAGACAGAGTCTTACTTTGTTGTCCTGGGTAGACTGCTGTGGCATCATAGTTCACAGCAACCTCAAACCTGATTCTCTTGCCTCAACCTCTTGAGTACCTGGGACTACAGGCACCCGCCACAATGCCCGGCTATTTTTAGAGGTGAGGTCTCACTCTAGCTTAGGCTGGTCTCAAACTCATGAGCTCAAGCAGTCCACCCCCCTTGGCCTCCCACAGTGCTAGGATTGTAGGCGTGAGCCACCACGCCTGGCCTCAGGTGATTTTCTTATTTTTATTTTCTTTTTGGTGCTTTTTTTTGTACGTCTAGATTTTCTACCATGAACATGTGTTATTTACTTTTTTTAAAAGCACATATTATTATTATTTTAGTTGAGGCAGACTTTTGCTATGTTGCTGAGACTGGTCTCGAACTCCTGAGCTCAAGCAATCTTCTGGCCTCAGCCTCCTAGGTAGGTGGATTATAGGTGTGAGCCACTGCATTCATCTTTACTTTTATAATTTACCAAAAAAGGTCAAGGTAATTGAAATCTATGCCTCTGCAGTTCTGTCTGACCGACTCCTCACACTCGGGGGCAGATGCTGAGCCAGTGTCGAGGCCTTACTTTGGTCAGGGCCCCTGCACAGACAGGGCTTAGAGGAGCCAGGGGTTCTGGGGCACGCATCTGAGTCAAGGTGCCCAGGGGTTAGCAGTCCTCACCTTGGCCTGTGCCACCTCTTCACCAGTGAGGACGAAGAGGACATCCTGGGTCTGGAGCAGGCTCAAGGGCAGGTCCAGGAGAGAGAGGTACTTGCGCAGCACATTCACAGACTGGAGCGTGAGCACGGCACAGCCTGGGCGGGGCGGGAACGGGAGCCATGAACAGCCTGTCGCCCCAGTCAGACTTGCTTTGAACAACCCCCCAGCTCAGGGCAGGGCAAGGCAGGCCAATGACACAGGGTGGCCAGGTGTCTCCGAGACACCAGAGCTCCTCTGTGCCCATCATTTTTTTTATTTTTTTTTATTTTGAGACAGAGTCTCACTATGTCACCCTTGGTAGAGTGCTGTGGCATCACAGCTCACAGGAACCTCAAACTCTTGGGCTTAAGCGATTCTCTTGCCTCAGTCTCCCTAGTAGCTGGGACTACAGGTGCCCGCCACAATGCCCAGCTATTTTTTTGTTGCAGTTATCATTGTTTAGCAGGCCCGGGCTGGGTTTGAACCTGCCAACGTCAGTGCATGTGGCTGGCGCCCTAACCTCTGAGCTACAGGTGCCGAGCCAGTGTGCCCATCATTCTTGAAGCCAGGAAGAAAGGGCTGCTGACTACCTGCCTGGCTACCTTCCACCCTGCCACATGCCTTGGCAAGAAGAGTTTGGTTGCTAGAGGGGGATCTGGCTACCTCAAGGCCAAGGGAAGGGTGATGCAGACAGGAAGACCTCATTTAGTTCTGTCACTCAAGAACTGACAGACTCAGCAAAGTCCCCTAATCACTCTGACCCTCGAGTTTTCTAATCTGTAAGATGGTAGTGACAGTGTGACAGGGTTGATATTTGAATAAAATGGTCTAGCCATGATTTAAGGACCTCCCAGCTCAGTCAGCACCACCCACTCACTCAGGAAGTGCACATAAGACTTATGCTTTCCTCCAGTGAATCATCAGCCACTCATATGAGGTGGGACCAACAGAAACTGGCTCAGAGCAGGCGGGCCTGGGAGCCAAGCAGCGAGTGGCCAGCTGGGGTCAGGTTCCTTCCTGTGGGCTAGGACAAGTTCCTGGCTCAAGCATGTTCATCTAACAAGAACCCATGGGTCATTTGCAACCTAGCTAATTAAATGGGGGGTGGGATGTGAGGACAGACTGGAAGAACACCAGGGGTGGGCACAGGCTGGGTGGGGGAAGCACCTCTCCACTCCTGGGCAGGAGGCACTTGTCTCCTGGGACGCAACTTCCTAGAGGCCTGTGCCGGGTTGGGAAGAGCATGGCTGGCCTCTCCCTCCCTGCCTCTGCTCCACCTGGGGCAGCTCTCTGCGTATTTGCAAATTTCCCTCTACTAAGTTGTTTAGCTGACAGTAAGTAGCAATCTTTTGCAAGAGGGATAGGCCTTACCTTTAGGAAACTTCCCTTCTGAGTGCAGAGACCTGGAGGAGGGAAAGAATGAGAGTGAGAGGGCAGGAACCACCTATTCCTTTTTAGGTCACAGGAGGGGCTGGCTGCCTGGCCTCCTCCATGGGGTTTCAGGTGGCTTCATTCCCATAAATCACCACATAGACTTCTAGGGTCCCACACCTCAGGCTACAGCTAGGGGGACCAAGGTGGGCACTGGCCAAGGACAACCACTCCAGGGGCCAGTCTGGTTTGTGTGGTGCCCTGGATTTAGCTTTGCCCCTTACAGGATGAAGGTAACTACTCTAGACTCTTTGAAGATTTTTTCGTGAAACTATAACGCGTGCCTGTGGGAGGATGTCTTAAGGCATCAGTGTGACTCTTCCCTGACACTTCCTTCTCCTGTCTGACCTGCCCCTCCCACCTCTGACAGAGATCATGCTGGGCTGGCTGCCTTCAGAGGAGCAACCAGGAGGGCCCAGCAGCAGTGAGCTCCAAACCCCTGCCTGCATGAATTTTACCAGTAAAATGCAGATAAATGTCAGCAGAAGAGGGTGACCAGGAGGACAGGGAACAGCACCCCCTCTGATACACACACTCAGACACAAAGGGACTCTCAGGAGAAGAGGTTGGAGAAGAGAAGTTGACAGAGAATTGATATGACAGGGCGACGCCTGTGGCTCAGTGAGTAGGAACTGGCCCATAAGTTCCAAATTAATGAAGGGGAAAGCAGAAAATGAAGAGAAATTTAAAAGTCAGCAAAAATAAGAATAAAAGGAAAAGAGGAAACAAAGTATAAAATGTAATTAAATATAAAAGAAGTAACACAAAAAGAATAAAAATCAGATAGTTACTTTAAAAATATAGGAATGGGCTGAATTTCCCTATCATAAAATACCGTCAAATTGAGAAAATAAAACCTAGCTATGCCTAAATGTGACAAAGACTTAAAAGGATGAACCAGATAGTCGACAAACAGAAAGGAAGAGCCTCACTACGAATCCAGGTCAAGCAAATACAACATCAAAAAGCATTAAACTTAACAAGGATGGGCACTGTATAATGAAACTGGTTCACTCCCTGAGACCATATGCACCAAACATCACAGGGCTGAAACGACCACTCTGGAGCTGCCTCATTTTCCATATATCTTCACAAAAAACCGCAGCTCAAACTATTAAGTAGGGGATGTGCCTTTCCTGAATCTGAAGGGACCTAATGCAGCGAGCAGCATGTCTCCTCGTGGCTGTGGCCTGCGGCTGGGCCAGGCTGTGAACAGTCTTTACAAGAGGGGAGAGGTCTGGCCTCTCCCATTCCACAGTCAAGGACACAGAACTGTCTAAAAGGGGATGTGGGAAATAATTTCTAGCATCTTCCACTAAGTGATGTACAATTTAGGGACAAGAGTAGACGGTCCTCAGGTTGGACTGGTCTTCACCTGTGTCCAGCAGAATAATTAATGGAGAACCAGGATTCCTGGACCCCGTTCCACCTCTGCTGTCCTGCATCCCTATCAGGCGGGGCAAACCACTTCACAGCCTCAGTGAGATGAGGTGGTTGGACCTCATGGTGGTGAGGTCATTTCCAACCTCACGTATCACACTGCTCTAGCCTGAGGGTGGCGGGCATGTTTAGAAGGTTATCAGATAAGCCCTTCTGCTCAGTAGCTACAATGGGCTCACCAAGCTACACAGGAGGGCCCAGAGAAGCACTTTGCTGGAAGACAGGAGACACGGTCTGTAGGACCCTAGGTTGTTATTTGGTATCTTTGAGGTTCCATTTTGTTTTTACGGGTAAAATGTAGAAAAATATCAGTAGAATAGGGTGACCAAGAAGAACAAATGAGATTTCATGTTATCCATGTACATACTCCTTCTCCAAAGAAAAATCAGATAGTTAACAGAATACATAATGGGCCAGGTACAGTGGCTCATACCTATGATCCTAGCACCCTGGGAGGATAAAGCAGGTGGATTGCTTGAGCTCAGGAGTTCGAGACCATCTTGAGCAAGAGGGAGACCTTGTCTCTACCCAAAATAGAAAAACTAGCCTGGCATTGTGGCACGAGCGTGGGTCCCAGCTACTAGGGAGGCTGAGGCAGGAGGATGACTGGTGCCCAAGAGTGTGAGGTTGTTGTGAGCTGTAACACCATGGCACTCTACTCAGGGGGATAGAGTGAGACTCTGTCTCAAAAGATATGTATGGAATGAAAGATGACAAATTCATCTTACAGGAAGGGGAAAAAAGATACGACCAGGAAGTTCATAGCATCACAGGACTCATTCTGCAAAGTCTCGTCCATGGGCTACAGGAGTTACAGACTTGGCCCTAAAGCTTTCTGTGGCCAAAGCAAAGAGAGAACTATCATCAATTAGCCCATTTTCGGTACCCAGAGAGTAAAAACAATACAGCTGTTTAGGAGAAGGATGTGGGAGAGAGTTCTCTGAGAGGACATGGTGAGACGCAGTGAGCAGCATGGTCAACAGGGCTCTAATTATCATCCAGTGGTCAGTTTCAGATACTTTCAGGTGTCAGATAACAAGCGGGAAGTGCTGTGGAAGCCAGGAATCCTGAGTAAATGAGCCACCCCCTCACCAGAGACTCCTACCTCACGGCCGCATACAGAGCACTGTGATTGC